CGAAGAGAAGACTGCTTACCCATTTTATGGGGTTTCCCTTTCCTTTACCTAAAACCGTGTTTTGGGAACCCCAAGGATTTGAGACAGAATGATTTCTTAATGGCATAATTTGGGGATTCAGGTATTTTTAAATGCCTTAACCCTCCTCACCAATGTGTAGCAGAATAAGATGTCAGTTTCTTTCACCGGGATATGCTGTGTCCCCCAGAAAACCACAGCTTCATGCTTTTGCCAGCCGTTTGTCCAATCGGAAAATTCATTCTCTGCTCTGGCGCATGGTCAAGGGCATTACTGCCCTGAGAAAAGAACAATTTCCAGACAACTAAATAGTCTTGGAACTTCCTTCCCATGCATTGCTAACCAAATACTGCTGGCCGGCCTAGAAGTGTTCCGCTTGTATATTTATGACTTTGGAGCTGCTCAAACACACGCTGACTTTTTATTTTTTCCATCACACAGAGTTTCTTCCAATTTTTTGTTTCCCATATCAGCCGCTTTGCTATTTTTAAGAGAAACAATTCTAAGCCAAAGTAGCTAATCAGTACAGTAAAACCTCGCCATTCAAGCAGGGAGCTTCAACTCTTCCAGGGAAGCGGGGAAAGCAGTGGCAGGATGAGCCTGCTCGTTCTTCTCTAATGTGAAGGCGTAGGGTTATATAATCTGTTAAATTCTGTTACACGAATATTAAAAACAAATTTTATCAAATCTAAGATGTCATAAATTACAAGAAATATCATGTTTTGTGCACCAGTAAGAAAGGAAAATTAAAAAAAAAAACAAAACAAAAACCAACCTCCAGTTAAACTCTCCCCAGATGTCTTTAACGATGTTCCTTCGATGCGGGGAATCAGTCACACCAGCCCCTTGTGGTTGTGAAATCCATTCAGAGAATTTGGCAACTTCTTCTGCCTTCAGTTGCATTGCTTGGCATGTAATAGACGATCTTTTTGAACAATCTCAATAACAAATTGTAACACCACTTTTCATCGCCTTAAAAAAAAAAAAAAAAAAAACAGTTGCCTTCAAGTTGATTCGGACTCAAGGCAACCCCATGTGTTTCAGCGTAGAACTACGCTCCATAGGGTTTTCAGTGGCTGTGACCTTTCAGAAGTAGTTCACCAGGTCTTTCTTCTGAGGCACCTCTGGATGGATTTGAACCACAGCCGAGTTAGCAGCTGAGTGCTTAATCATTTGTGCCACCCAGGGTCTCCTTCATTGCCTTGCAAGTGTCTTTATTTCAAACTTCCCATAAAGCATTTGCTTGTCCTTTTGCAAGAAAACATGGAATTGCAGTTCTCCTTCTAATAATGAATTTTGCTTCATCAATATTGAACTGACACCCTGCTGCTCTGTTTTTGAGATTTTCTATACACCCGTTGCTGTCAAGTCGATTCCCACTCATAGCCACCCTACAGGACAGAGTAGAACTGCCCTATAGCGTTTCCAAGTAGTGGCTGGTGGATTTGAACTGCCAACCATTTGGTTAACAGGCAAGCTCTTTAACTACTGTGCCACCAGGGCCCCTTTCTATGCACAGTAATTTTTTATTTCAATGCCGAATCACAGTGTAATCTTTTCTAAGACATTTAAATGGCAATTCAACTCTACAGTATAGTACAAACTCAATGGACGTGACAAGCTGGACACCTATGACTGTGTTCACCAGACACAGGCAAGGACCTCATGTCAAGACTGCCACCTACAACATCATCAATAACACCTGCATCCTGATCTCCGAGATGTAAAAATGTGAAAAAATGCATCTTAGGATCGATGAGTTACAGAAATAGCTACAATTTATTGAGAATTTACTATTCACCTGGCAAGGTACTAAACCCTTGCTAAGCCTAATGTCAGTTAAACCTCGCAGCAACCCAAGAAATATGTACAGATTAGGAAATTGAGCCATTGTTAATAAAATTGCCCAGGTGACACAGCTAGATAAATTTCAGGGCAAGAATTCTTATCCAGACAAGAGGACCTTGTTGTCGTTGTTGTGTATCATTGAGTCGATTCCAACTCACAGCGACCCTATAGGGCCCTAGCACCTTCTATTTTACCTGTTCTGTGGTTCTTTAACTAATGCAAATCATGTGTGCACATCAACTGTAGACGGCCCCTGGATTCAGTCTACTTTCACGAACATGAAGCATCACTCCACACAGGCTTGTTGTTGTTAGTTGCCGCTGAGTTCATTCGGATTCATGGTGACCCCGTGTGTGCAGAGTAGAACTGCTCCATAGATTTTGCCAGACCGTGACCTTTCAGAAGCAGATCACCAGGCCTGTCTTCCAAGGCAACTCTGGATGTGTTCAAACCCCCAACATTTCACCTGGTAGTCGAGAGAGCACATAAACCCTTTAAAAGCGCCACCCAGGGAATGCTCAAATAGGCTATCAAAGTGTTATTTAAAATAACTCAACCATATATGACTTTCTGTAAGGAATTGACAAGAATGATTTATGATTAGCACATTCATTATATGCAAATTGCCACATCTTAAGGGGGCTCCACAGAAATTATTTCCGCCCTCACAACAACTGTGGAAGCTGGTGTGGCTGCCTGTGGCTGTTCCCTCACCACAGTGTGAGGAGATAGCTAAATCATCACATTTCCTCACCACAGCCCTGCCTAAGAGCTGAAATGACTTGCCCAATAGCACACAGAGGTGCATTCATGGCAAAATACGAACTTAGATCACCTCAAACATTGGTCTCTTGACCCTCGAACCTACTGTTTCTCCACTTCTCTCTGCTGCACCAGTGACTTTGCTTTTCTCACCAAGTTTTTTGTTGTTGTTGTTTTTTACTGATATGAATGAATAAAACCAACATCAGTTGCTATTCAGTTGATTTCAACTCATTGTGACCCTCTGTGTATCACAGTTGAACCGTGTTCCATACAGTTTTCAATGGCTGATTTCTCAGAAGTAGGTCACCAGGCCTTTCTTCCGAGGTGCCACTGGATGGGCTCCAACCTCCAGCCTTTAGGTTAGCAGCTGAGCATGTAAACCATTTGCACCACCCATGGACTCCAATGTGAATTAATAGAGACAGTTATATTCTTGTTATATTTTTGTTTACTGTCCCAACATTGGAAGACATGACAATGAGTGAAATTTTTCAGTGCATGGGAGTCCCTAATCCCCCTGGTCCTGACCGCTCAGAGGAAGAAGGGAGGCCCCTTTAAACTAACCCAGTGGTAGAGAATAGGAAGCCTGTCTCTTGAGAAAAGCGATGCTGAGTAAAGTCCTGTGGTTTTGTGGCAGTGGTGAGTCTGCTTCCATGAACAGTGAAGTACAGAATCTGATAGCAACTGTGTATTCGTGTTCAGTGCTCTGGGGGATTTCAGTTGGGAGCTAACCCCAAAGAGTGTGGTTGGGTACAGGGCTTTCACGGTCAAAATAAGCACCAGCAAGAAATTATCAGGTCTACACAGTTCAAGGTCACCAGCCTCAAGCCCTGCTCATATAAACACCACTACAAATTTTACAAATTTGCATTCTAGGGGCCAGTGCAGAGATTGCTTTAATGGCATGAAATAAGCAACCTTTAAAATCACTTTCTCCATACATTAATGCGTTTGGTTGGCAAGTGTATATTGAGTTACCTACATGTGAAAAGGGAGAGGGGAATACAGGTACAAGCAAATCAAGTTGTTTCAAGTCTAGCAAACATGTGGTTTTCTTTTTTAATAACATTTTAATAGTAATTCATTTTTAATGGATTTTACGAAGGTACCGTTTCACACCAGGCTGGCATAACTGCTCCTTCACTATAGTGTGAGAAGCATTGCAATAGAAAACTATACAAAGTGAAAAGTAAAAGCCCTTTCTCACCTATTTGTATTCCCCAGTCCTTCACCAAAACTATTTCATTACCATCCCTAGAGGTAAGAGCACGATGCCTATCCTTCCAGATAGATATATCTGTATAGCAAACATGGAACCCTGGTTAAGTGATGGGCTGCTAACTGAGGGAGAAAAGACCTGGCGATCTGCTCTCGTAAAGATTGCAGCTGTTAAAACAAAGATCATATTAAGCCAATAGTAGAAATTGATTTAAGTTTATTGAATATACAATTTGCAGATCAGAGTAACATTTCAACTAGAGTGTCAGTAATGTCTTGAAGGTGAAAAGAACTTCCAAAATTCTTATTCCAAATCTTACTGGCATTGAATGGAAAAACGGGTAGGAACAGAACTGATAAAGTTGTGGACAGGAAGGATTTTCAAACAGCATTGTCTTGAAGAACAATTAAAATAATTCCTGACTTAACCCTAAACATAGCTCCCAGTCTGACCTTTGGAGTCTATCTCCCAAAACTAACTGAATTCTCCAAAAGAGCACAGGGCAGGTTACAGTCACCAAGGACATGACCGAAAACAAAACAAAACCCATTGCTGTCAAGTCGATTGCGACTCATAGTGACCCTACAGGACAGAGTAGAACTGCCCCATGGGGTTTCCAAGGAGCACCTGGCGGATTAGAACTGCCGACCTTTTGGTTAGCAGCTGTAGCTCTTAACCACTGTACCACGGAGGACACGACATACATCCTAAAACAGCCTCTAGTCAGACCCTTGAGTTCCTGCTTCTCAAAGCTGGCTGCACACAGACAATTTTCTTAAAAAAAAACCCAGTGCCTAAAGGCAAACGTCTCTGCTGAGCTGCTTGCTGAGCTACTGTTTGACCTGAAGGTGACTCCAGGGAACCAGTTTTTTCAAGGCTCAAAAGGACACCTAAGGGCCTATGTGGGTTACCCCAACTTCCATGAAAGCTAAAAATATGGATTCCAAGAGAATTAAAACTCTTCTGTCACGGCAAGGAAACCCTGTCGGGCAGTTCTACTCTGTCACATGGGGTCGTTAGGAGTCAAAAATGGACGCAACAGTACCTAACAACAACAACAATAGCAAACATGTATTTGAAGTGTGGCCCTGACTAAATAATGGCAGCAAAACTGAAGCCTTTTCTAACCTCCCTGCTCATTTTGTTTCAGCTGTAAAGGTGCCTCTCACTATGGCCTGACCAAAGACAGGAAGAGGCGCTCACAAGATGGTGGTCCAGATGGCTGTGCGAGCCTCACAGCAACGGAACTCTCCCCAGAAGTTTCCGCAGCTGCCACCATCTCTTCAACGACAGACCAGCCAGGCATAGACAACCCTGCCTATGTGTTCACGGCGGAGGATGGCCAGCCAGCAAACAGCCCACTGGACCCTGGCCGGAGCAACCGAACTAGGAGTGAGTCAAATGGGTGGTTGTCCGGGAATGGGCTCCTTGCCTTGGGATTGCCCTCTGTGGAATATTCACTGGAAAGTTCAAGAAATGTTTAAGGGAAAATAGTTCTGTTAGCCTTGGCAGCAACCCAATGTCCAATCCTCCAAAGTGAAATAAAACCACGAGTACCTCAGATTATTAAAATTGTGTACAATCGGACTTGGTGAAAGGGGTTGAAGCTAGACCTAATGATTCCTCATTCTTGCAGTGTTAGTTCCTTCCTATCCATGCAGCTCATGAAAAATGCTGTTATATTCAGTCCAGCCCAGGGGAAAAAAAAAAGCAGATTTTTAAACAAGTTATACATATTTCATTGTAGAAAACTTAGAAAATGCAGGTAAGCAAATTCTGTAGTCCTGCTCCCTAGAGATAACCACTGTTAATGTTTTATTGTATCGTGTATATATCTTAGAGTCCCTGGGTGGTACAAACAATTAAGTACTGGGCTGCTAACCAAAAGGTTGGTGGTTCCAACTGCAAAAACAGCCTGAGGGCAATATCTGACTTCTAACTTCACAGGGGGAAAGAATAAAGATCAACAGCCCAAGGTTGATTCCTCTAAGGCAGAGGTCAGACATGCCTTCTCTCTCCACCATCTTTACCATTTCTGACACCAACCATCCTTCCCACGGCACTCTCTATTTCTCTGTTGGGTTCGATAATTCATTGCAATGGCCACTCAGAACTCACAGACCATACTCATGATTATGGGGTTTATCAGGGAAGTAAAAGTTACAATTCAGGCTTAGGAACACTCAAGGATACAGTTCTTCCATCAGGACAGCTTCTCAGCCGTACTCACAGGCACACCTTTCCTTGACCCTAAGCCTCTGCCTGAAGGCACTCAGCTTTCTCTCTCCGTGGGCCGGGAAGCCTACCGTGCCATCTCCTACTGCCAGGTGTCTGTTGCCGGGTCTCTCCTGCTGAGTCTCTCCTGCTGGGTCTCTCCTCCTACCTCTTCTCACTGTTTCCAGGGTTACAGCTCATTCTCTGTCTGTCTCCTGGTCCCAGGAGCCTCCTTGCACCGGGATCCTGGGTCCAAAGGATGTGCCGGCTCCTGGCTGTTCTTCCATGGTAGTAGTTGTATCTTCTCTTTACCATCCCTGGGATGGCTCATTTCAAGCCCAGCAGGATGGCAAAACTGACCAATCCCCTTGATGGGCTACAATCTCACAGTCCCGCAGTCCTGCCTGATCACTTGGGTGGGAATTATAAGACCATGGCTAGAAAGGCCACACTAAAGTGATCCATCACACCACACTAATGTACCTGGTGGCACCACAGAAAAAAGGCCTGGTGATCTGCTTCTGAAAGATCACATCCATGAAAACATTATGGAACGCATTTCTACTCTGAAACTCATGGGGGTCACTGTAAGTTGGAATTGACTTGACGGCAATTTTTTTTTTTATTTATATCTTATGAAACGTGCACATACAAGAGGATTTCTGTTAACGCACAGCTGCCATTGCTCTCTTCTCTCTTTTCCCCAGCACGGCCCTTTGAGCGATCTACTTTCAGAAGCAGATCTTTTAAGAAAATAAATAGAGCTTTCAGTATCCTTCGGAGGACAAAGAGTGGAAGTGCAGTTGCCAACCAAGCAGACCAGGGAAGGGAAAATTCTGAAAACACCACTGCCCCTGAAGGTACGTGAGCTCACCTGCAAGACTGGACGTGGCCGGGCTTCCAGAGTGACTTCAGTGGTGATGACAACCTGACCACCACTTTATCTTCTGTATTGGTTATCTAGTGCTGCTATAACAGAAATACCATAAGTGGATGGCTTTAACAGACAGAAATTTATTCTCTTACAGTTTAGGAGGCTAGAAGTCTAAATTCAGGGTGCCAGCTCCAGGGGAAGACATTCTCTCTGTGTTGGCTCTTGGGGAAGGTTCTTGTCTCCTTTCATCATCTGTGGGCCCGGCTTTCCTTGGAAATCTCCATGTGTATTGGCATCAATCTTTCCCTGGGTCTAGGAGGTTCTCAGCCCGGGGACCACAGGTCCAAAGGATATGTTCCACTCTGGGCTGTTCTTTCTTGGTGGTACTGAGGGTCCCCTCTCTCTGCTCCTTCTCTCTCTTTTTATCTCCTGTAAGATAAAAGGTGATGGAGGCCGTACCCCAGGGAAACTCCACTTACGTCTGATCAGGGCTGTGACCTGAGTAAGGGTGTTGCATGCCACCCTAATCCTCTTTAACATGGCTAATCTTACATCATTAACCACAGGCAGAGATTAGGATTTATAGTACATAGGACAATTACATCAGATCATAAAATGGAGATAACCACACACTACTGGGAATAATGTCCTATCCAAGTTGACACATTATGCAGGGACACAATTCAGTATATGACATTTTCTATGACACCTGTCTTCCCAAAAAAAAAAAAAAGAAACCAGAAAAAAACCAAACCTGTTGCTGTCGAGTCGATTCCAACTCATAGCGACCCTGCAGGACAGAGTAGAACTGCTCCATAATGTTTTCCAAGGAGTGGCTAGTAGATTCGAACTACTGACCTTTTGGTTAGCAGCTCTAGCTTAAGGCATATAAGGAATAATAATTATAGTCAAAGTTAAAAGCACTTAGAATGTTACCTGCTATATTATAAATTCTAGATAAGTATTTACTGTTATGACTATGTACAAGGTGTGGTTCTAAGTGTATTACCTGTACTAACTCATTTCATCCACACAACAACCCTATGAAGTGGCTCCTATTATTATCCTCATTTTACAAATGAGGAAACTGAGGCACAGAGGGTTTACTTAGCTAGCTCCAAATTACCTTACTAAAGTTTGAATCCAGGTAACCTGGCTCTAGAATCCATGCAGGGCACTTCGTTGGATCTTAGAGTCTATGTGTTTTCCCCAGTGTAAATGGAGCTGAGGAAATACTGTTTCACTTCTTTCTTTTCATTTTATACTTGAAGAGCAGTAATAAAAATGGCTAATAAAAATGGAGCTCTTCCTGTGTGCCAGGAAGAGCTTACTGTGTGTAAGGCACTGGCATAGACACTGTAATTTTATGTAAAGATTATAAAATCCAGTTCCTGGCCTCAAGAGGTTTGCTTTAGTCCGAGTTCTCCAGAGAAACAGAACTACATGTATATACATGCATACGTACATACGTACGTACTTAGAAATTTCTAAGTCATTTGAATGTCACACCACAATGCTAAGGGATAGTTATCATCATTTCCACTTTATAGATGAGGAAACAGGCCTCAAATCACCTAGCTAGAAAATGGTAGAACTAGGATTTTACTCAGGCCATCTGGCTCCAGAGTCCACACTCTTGACCACAGGTCACACAGCTCTGTGCTCCTGGGGGCTGGAGGGTAGAGCCCAAGCCCTCTGTATTTGTCTGCATTTATCATGCCTTCTGTGAGCTTGTGGGTGGTCATATAAGACCACTTCTGGCTTACTCATTCATCACCTCTCACCCTGTGTATACACACACACACACATACACATGCATACACATGCTGCATGTTCTAACTACACCAAATTAATCACAGTCCCTGTAAATACTGCGTCAGAGTCCCTGGGTGGTGCAAACAGTTAACAGACTTACCTGCTAATGTTGGAGGTTTGAGTCCACCCAAAGGCAATTCAGAAGGAAGGCCTGGTAATCTACTTCTGAAAAATCAGTCACTGAAGACTCTATGGAGCACACTTCTACTGTGACATACATACCTGGAGTTGCCATGAGTCAGAATCAACTCAACAGCAACTGGTTTTTTAAATACTGTGTCTCTTTCTCTCTTTCCCCTCACTGTTGTCCAACCTACATTCCTACTGTCCCCTCAGCTGACATTCAAATCCATCCTTTCAGGCTCAGCTTTGGCTTTACCTCCTCCTGGAAGCCCTCCCTGACTTCCTATTTCTTTGCATCGTATGTCACTGTCATAGCAATGATTGCATTTCATTGTAACTTTACCTGTCAGGGTGGGGATTCTTTTTTTGAGTCTTTGTATTCTCAAGGTCTAGTACAGTATCAGGCACACAATAATGTTCACTAAATGTTTGTGCAATGACTAAAGGAAAGGATTATAGCTTCCTTTCTGCCAGTGTCCCTCTCTTATTAAGTGCTCTCCCTATAAACTTTTGTACTGCCCAAATAAGATTTATTTGCATGTTTATTGCAGAATCATTTTTTAAACATTACTATGTGTAAGGCACTGGTGTAGGCACTATAATTTTATGTAAGGATTATAAAATCCACTTCCTGGCTTCAAGGGGTTTGCTTAGTTACAGTTCTCCAGAGAAACAGAACCACATATACATACATACATACATATATACATACATACATACATATGTATGTATATACAGTGAAACCTGTGAGAGCTAAATTTGATGGGACTTGCCTTGTTTATCCAGGTCTCGCAAGTTTTCCACCTTTGACAGGGTGCGGTCTTACCACTTTTCTATCTCTCGTTTTAGTGGAAAATGTCTGAGTTTCCCTTCTCTGACTGGTTTCCATCTTACACATGCTCTGGCTTTCCCAGGTTTTACTGTATATATATAGAGAGAAAGAAATAGAGAGAAAGACTTATTTGAATCAGCTCATGTGATTGTGTGGCTGACAAGTCCAAAATCTATAAGTTAGGCAGCAGGCTAGAAACTCCTGCAGGAGACCTAAGTTACAGTCTTGAGGTAGAACTCCTTCTGTCTGGAAACCTCAGTTTTTGCTCTGAAGCCCTTCGTCTGATTAGATGAGGCCCACCCACATTATCAAGAGTAATCTCTTTTGCTTAAAGTCAACTGATTGTAAATGTTAATCATATCTACAAAGTACTTTCACAGCAACATTTAGACTGATATTTGACAGAACATTTGGGTACCATAGCGTAGCCAAGTTGATACATAAAATTAACCATCACAGGGTTCACTAAAAACAGAAAGAAAATAAAATATCATAGGTAGTATAGTATACATAAACAACAACAACAGCTGTAGAGAGAGGAATACTACTTCCGAGTGGGGCAGTGTAATCCATGTTGACAGATTGACATTAGGATGTTGAGTATGTGTTGGGAAGTAATGGGAATCAGGTTAAGGCCAGAGGAGAGAGGATCCTAGATGCCATTTAGGAGTGTGGACTTGATTTGAGGGTAGTGAACAAACCTGAAAGCTTCTAGTAGAGTTGCTGAAGGACAGGAGCCATGTTTCAAAGAGATAAAGATGGCAGCCAAGTTAGGTATGCAGGGGTTAGATGGGGAGAGAATGAATTCCTTCAGACAGGCCAAAAAGTTATTACTCTAGAATGGGATGAGGTGTTAACAGGATTTGTGAGGCAACAAGGTTTCCAAAAATGGTAAGGATCTCATTGCTTCAGCAACCCATGGGTAGTCCTGTGAACTCTCTTGGCATGGCTTAGCCATCCTTTTTATATCAGTAAAGAGCCTAGCTCCACTATTTATCAGCTGTGTGACCTTAGCTGTGTTTCTTAATCTCTCTGAGCTTCAGCATTTCTTCCTTTAAAAAAAAGGGATAATGATAATATATTTCATAGTGTTGTTATGAGGATTAAACAAACAAACCAAAAGCTCTGCAAATTGTTTAGCTCAGTGCCTAGTATATAACAAACTTTTAATAAATAATAATTACATCCTTTAGTATTTGAGGGAGAACACAAGATTGAACAAATTCTTTTCTTCTCAGACCAACACAAGTTTGGCAGTTTAAAAATTATTTTAACTCTTCAAGGTCACTAGGGTCTCATTGGTGTGGCTCTAACTATCACCATTTACAATGTGAACTGGGTATGTCCTTTTGCGTTATCAACTCAACATCCTCTGGTGCTTTAGAGCTGGGAGATCGGAGTATGGGTTTAGGAGGGAGGTTAGAAGGGGAGGAGGAAGAGAGAGGGAAAACCAGCAGTTTTGATGATTATTTCCAAGTCTTTCTTTGCTCAAAGTGATTTTTTTTAAAAATTCCCGTTCCCTTGCACCAGACACATTCCAACAAATACTTGTGGTATTGCCTACTTAATGTAATCAAAGTAGTTTAAACATTAATTGAACTCAAATCACCCAAGTACTGTTAGCACCAGGAACTGACAGATTAAGACAGCTGCCCACAGCCTCATAGCAAAGTCAATAGCTTACATTGAATTAAATCCGAAGGGAAGCTAAAGAACCACATTTACAATGTCTCAGGCTTCCTCTGGCCACTAAATTACTTTGTTTACCATGTTCTAAATAATTAGAAATAATTTTAACTCTTTCTGTATTGTTCCTAGAGAGTTGAGTACTCGTTAGATCATTGCGGAAAATGGACTAAGGTCGTGGGTTTTCAAAATAGTCACAGTGGATTATACAGAACCAGGCCTGCATTTTGATCTTTCCAGATGACTTAATTACAGTAGAATCTTAGGGCAAAGGCAGCTGTCAGCAGTTACAGAGGCAGCTCCACCCTCCACATCTAAACACAAGCCTCAAGCAACTCAGAAGAGCCTCTTCTTTCCTAAGCTAGGTGTGGCTTCATCCCAACACTTGCTGGTGTCCCTTCTGAACACTTCTACTCAAACTGAAGTGGACAAACAATGGCGGTTGAGTGCTGCTGGCAGATGTGTCTACAGAGCAAGTTCCCTATGGAACTCTTGCCTGGCTGTGAACACCCAGCTCCAGGGAGACAATGATGGAGGCAATGAGAGGGCTGGGCATCAGGACCCCTATGTTCTGACTTGGTTCTGAGGTCCGCCTAACTTTGTGACCTCCAGCCAATCACTTCACTTCCCTTCTCTGACTTAACTGTTTTCCCTTGTCAAATGATGGTTTGACTGTCACTGGCTTTCACACTGTGTTTAAGCTGCACTAGAACTAGAATATCTGTGTGTGGTCACAAGGGTAGGGGGATGTGAATGCATTCATTGGGAAAAGGATTTCTCAGATTGATAAACACTAGCATAGGTGGTCTCTTGGAGTCCCTAGGTAGTGCAAACACACTCAGTGGCTAACCCAAAGATTGGGGGTTTATGTCCACCCAAAGGTGCCTCAGGAGAAAGGCTCAGTGATCTGCTTCCAAAAACCCAGCCACTGAAAACACTACGGAGCACAGTTCTACTCTGACACACATGGGGTCCCCATGAGTTGGAATCGACTTGACGGCAACTGGTTAGATGATCTCTTACTCTCCATTTTGCTCTGTATTCAGTGATTCGGGGAGATCATGGAGAGATCTCTCTAAGCCACCAATGAGGCCTTGGCTGGTGCTTCTTTTCTTGATTATGAACTTTCCCTTCATTAACACAAGTGTCTGAGTGGACTAATGATTCCCCAAGCCTGAAAAGTAAGGTCTTCAGGGAAGAAATCTCCAAATGATCTGAGGGACAGAAGAGCAGTTTTGTTCTGTTTTGTTCCTCAATAGACAAGTGATAAAATTACAGCCCATCCCATAACAACAGGTCATTCATCCACTCACTCAGTCCCGTTCCCTCAGTAAACATCAGCCAGAGGTTACTGTGCAGAGTTCTGTGCACAGAACCGCGGAAGAGCCGGAAAATATGCCCTCAAGGATTTTAGAGTCCAAAGGGATCTATAAGAAACTGACACAAATGATGATAATAGAAGGTTGAGTGTCGTGAGAAAAAGAGGGCAAGCTTCATGGGAAGTAGGGTGTTTGGAGGAAGCAGGGAAGAGAGGGATCAGGGTAGAGTTTAATTGGAAGGGATCATTTCATGCAGGCCTTGAAGGAAAAATTGGGTTTAAGCCTAGGATGAAAAACATTCCAAGCAGAGAAACGTATGCTGGCACAGAGGCCGGGAAGTAGAAACCGAGGATGAGAGTTTAGTTTGGCTGAAACTAAAGCTTGGCAAAAAGAAATGGCTGGAAATGTGCATTGAGTGGATGTCTTAAATACATACTGTCCTTGTCCATTTCAGGCTTTCCAAGGTCGTACCACCTGATTCCAGATGGTGAAATTACCAGCATCAAGATCAATCGAGTGGATCCCAGTGAAAACCTCTCCATTAGGCTTGTGGGAGGCAGCGAAACCCCACTGGTCCATATTATTATCCAACACATTTATCGAGATGGGGTGATTGCCAGAGATGGCCGATTACTGCCAGGAGACATCATTCTAAAGGTAGAGACCGACACTGTGGAGCCGTGATAAGGGGCTTAATAATTCAGAGCAAATGATTGTGTGAATGAATGAATGAGGGAAAACACTAAATAAATGTGGAGCAGTCACTTTTCATGTTAATTTGACTCTTCATGTGAAATTTATAATTTAATTGACCTAAGTCTTTGTCTCTTTCTTGCTCTTTTACTCTCCCCCATATATAAATATTTTCCTCTGTCTCTGCATTATTTTTTCTCTGTCTTTTCCTCCTCCCCCGGCAGCTCCTCCTATCCTCCTCCCCCTTCCCTTTCTCTATCTCCTTTCTTCTCTTCTTTCTCCTCCTCTTCTTTCTTTCCTTCTTTCCACCCTTTCTCCCCCTTTAAGCAGCAATAATATGAAATAATATAAAACTGGAACATATATTTCCTTTTTTGTTACATTACTAAAATAATTGTTTAAGTGGATTAATGGAACATTTTGTATTTTATCTAATCACTCACATTCACACACCCTCTAAAGTAAATTTCCTGGAACTTAGTGGCCCTGGATAAAAAAAGTAATCCCTAAGTTATTCCTGCCAACCCACAGACATTCCAGGGGATACAGGTGGTGGAATAGAATGCCTTGGACATTACTGTCTTCCGAGGTTTGGTTGATGGGAAGGACTTTAAGGAGGAATTTTCAGAAGAAGAGAGAGGATAAAAGAGGAGTTGTTTATCAGGCAGAAGTAAAACGTGTGCCAAAAGTGACAAGAACTCCCTCCCCAGTCATATATTTCCTATCTGATACTCAGACAATAGTCTCATCCAATCCCTTCTAGCTTGCTGAGGGGCCAGCTCCTGTCTCCCCATGAGATGTTTCTTTGGCAAACTGATTGGAATAAGAGGAGAAAAGAATTTAAGGTGGTAATTGCTGAAACACTGAAATTCCCACTGGTCTTCAAGATGGAGTACAAGGCAGGGCACGTCAACCTCAGGTGGCAGGCAGCCTGCTGTCGGTGACACTCTGCATGGCTTCCTTCCAGCTCTAGTGGAAGCTGTGCTGCCTGGGAGGGTTGCAAGATAAAACATTCTGATTCTTGTGGCCTTCAAATGGTGCTTGGAGGAACAAGAGCTGCAGGGACTCTAGCAGGCAAGTCTGAGCTTCTCCTGGCCGGAGTGTGATGCCAAGGTGCTCTGCTCACCTGTGCTTGGACGAAAGGGGTGGGCCTTGCCTTTGCACAGGGAAGCCTCCTCCCTTCCCTGGAAAAGCAGCAGAAAACTGGTGATTCTACACCCAATAATCACCTCTTTCCAAGACTCCTCTAACAACTGGCTGCAAGTGCATGAAATCTTACCAAACTATAGCAATTCAAGAAGGTTGTTTCTCCTCCCTGGGGCCTCTCTCCTCAAGCACACCATGTGCAAAGCTGCTGTGAAACTGTTTTCTTCCAGAGTGGTAACTAACGTTGGGGCTGCAGCCTCCGGCAGGGCCTGCTTAGCTGGAGTAATTAAAACCAGAAAGGCCATGCGGCCGCAGCTCTGCAGGTCGTTATCGAGGCACAAATGAGAGGGGCCCAGCTGAAGAATATTTAAACAGCGTTATAAAGGGATCCAGCCCTTCAGTAAAGGCCGAAAACTTCCATTCATGCCAGTTTTCTTGGAACTGTTCAGGGACTTCTCTTGTTGAGAATATGGGCAAAAGACCTTGTAGACGATCACCTTGAGACCCTACACACACATACATACACACTCTCATATACACACATACATGCTGTCACGTACATATATACCATATACATACACTCTCACATATGCACATACACACATACATACATACTCTCACATACACACATACATGCTCTCACGTACCCACATATACCATATACATACACACTCTCACATATGCACATACACACATACATACATACTCTCACATACACACATACATGCTCTCACGTACCCACATATACCATATACATACACACTCTCACATACACTCATACATACACCATATACACACATACATGTACACTGTCATGTACACACCTCATACACACACACACTCTTACACACATACTTACTCAGTGGTGGTGATTGAAAGTTCCATTATGGATGAGCTAGGGAGAAAAAATTGGTTGGAGGTTTCTGGAAAGAAAATGCAGTTCAGTTTTGTTTGAGCAACAGTTTAATGTGATTATTTGACTGAGCTGAATGTGAAAATTTCTTCTTTTTTTTTAAAACTTTTCTTTTTTTTTTTCCTCAGCTAAAAAGTAAGTTTGGCAGGCAACAGAAATGAAGGATAGACAATTTTGTAATTATCTACAAAATTATTCTGTAGATAATTTTGTGGGCCTGTGTAAGAACAAGGTTGAGGAAAGATAATTTCTGCTCGAGAGGCCTGAAAAAGTGGTAGAGGTCACACTCAGAGAAAAAGAGTTAGAAGTAATGTTGGCAGGTGGGGAATTTTGGATACAGGATAAAGTGACAGAACAGAGCAGTCTTGAAAAGAAGGGTCTGGGGTTCTCCTTTGGGCCTGCGCCTTTCCAGAAGAGTTGGGGCAGATGGTGCTGACTGTACAGTTGCTCCAAATGCTAAGGTCCACTGTCCCCCAGGTCAACGGGATGGACATCAGCAACGTACCTCACAACTATGCCTTGTGCCTCCTGCGGCAGCCCTGCCAGGTGCTACGGCTCACGGTGCTTCGGGAGCAAAAATTCCGAAGCAGGAACAATGGACTGGCACTAGACTCCTATGGCTTCCGGGATGACAGTTTCCATGTAATTCTCAACAAAAGCAGCCCTGAGGAGCAGCTGGGAATAAAGCTGGTGCGCAAGGTAGATGAGCCTGGGGTGTTCATTTTCAACGTGCTGGACGGTGGCATGGCGGACCGACACGGCCAGCTGGAGGAGAATGATCGTTTGTTAGCCATCAATGGACACGACCTTCGATATGGCAGCCCAGAAAGCGCGGCTCATCTGATTCAGGTGGGTCACAGATCATTCCAAGGTCCCAGTTAGAAACTCCCAGCATGAGCTGAAATGCTCACCACCCTGATGTTCCTACCCTGTTACTCTCACACATTTAATACACCGTGCCTCCCTTTCAAAGAGTCAAGATGGAATGGGCAGCATTTTCAAAGCTTCTGCCCAGGTAAGAATATTACTCAAGCAAATGATATGTCTCATGGTCATGAACATTCTCTAGGTATTGTCAGCCATCTGACCTGACTGCAGGTAAATGCGTTGGGTTATCTACTGCAACCTCACAAGGTTAAGATCACTCGAGGTCAGCAGAGTTGTATAATCCCTCTACCTAGTATGTGGATGCAGACACAGGGATCATGAAGATACATTCTGGTCATAGCCAAGACACTTGATAGTCCTAACTCCCATAGGAAACTGTGCTGTGCTCCCTACAGGGATCCTATAGACAGGATTGGCTAAGGCTAAGACCCTGGTCTCCATAGCTAAGTCCAGGCCCCTTGAAAAATCCAAGGAAACTCTAGTATGAACCTAAGAGGAAGCCTACTAATAAAAGAGGCGTATAAAGTATTGATCATTTAGACACAACAGCCTGACATTGGTTCAAACTAATCTCTTTCCTGACCAGTGTGGTATCACCAAGGCCCAGAATACATCTTAATGACTTCAACTGGGTCACCATGACATTTTTTAATGTTTATGGAGCTTCCAGCTTTATTCTTAGAGAGAAGGACTTTGTTCTGGGGTCCTGGATTCTAACTCATTTATTCACTTCATTTAGAAGACACATATTAAGTTTCTGCTGTGTGCCTGACCCTGGATTAGGTACAGAGAACAGAGAGATGACAACCACTTCGTTTGTTCTCCCAAAAAAGCCCACAGTCTAAACGGAGACATGGTCTTGTTTCTAAATAACTGCCATATGGTGTTATAACACTATAACGGAGTATTTTTAGTACAGTGCTGGTGCAGAAGAAGGAGATATTTTTGCTAGGAATGCTTCACAGAGGAGGAAGAACTTTAACTGGGGCTTTGAGGAATCAGTAGAAGTTCTCTAGGTGAACAAGGCAGGGAAAGTCATTCTAAAGAGATAGAACACAAAGGCACAAAGGTCTGTTAGGGGAGTGGTTAATACTTAGTGCATGGGGTGAATGTAAAAAAGTAGTTAGAGATAACGCAGGAGTGGTGGCAAGGACCAGGCTATGCAGAGTATTGTGAGCTGTGATAAGGAGTTCAGACTTTAACCCCAAGGCCACGAGGTGTCATTGGAAGGGTTTGGGAAAGGAACTGACATGATCTTCTAGAAGATCTGTCTGCAGGCAGTGGAGAGCTGTTAGGAGAGAGTCAATATTAGAGACCTTTAGAAGCAGTCACAGTCATCCAGGCTCACAATGTCAGCTTCCATTTAGTGACTGAAGTATTATTACTTTGAAAGTAGACAGTGAGAACTGTACATGTGAAAAATGTTGAGTTGGCAATGTTATCTATATTTTTATAACAGTAAAGAATACATGCTTTTTTTAAAAAAAGAATAGATGTTCAGCAGTATTAATTGACTGAGCCCTGTTCCAGGTTCTATAGAATATAACAAGCAGAAGACAGAGCCTGCCCTCAAGGACCTGATCATCCATGAACAAATAAGTCTTCCTACCCTTAGGTTCCAATCATGGAGTTCTTTCAGGTGTAAGCAACTCTTTTCTCCTTCTTGTGTGTAGTATCTTATCTCTCCTTAGAGGAAAACCAAGTGGTGGATAGTATTATTGTCACTTTAGGAGTGGGCAGACTGAGGCCCAGGGTGCAAGGAGACTTGGTTCATCAAGGCAGAAAACACATGTGGTGCTTTGACTCTTGAGTTGTGGCTCTTGGTGGTGTCCCGATTCTGAGGGACACCTGTGGAGCAGGTGGAGAATAAAACCAGAGTTACCAGAGGCATTTCCCTTTTGGAGTTTATGTCATCCGTTCCCAAATTCGTATGCCCAGCCTCAATTTTTCTGAACACCACACTTATATAACCTACTTGGTATCTTTACGTGGGTGTCTAAAAGACTTCTTAGACTTAATGTCCAAAATGAACATTTGGCTTCTCCCCACTCCACCCCTTGACAAGCCTGCTCTTCCCTCAGTCTTTCCCAGTCTCTAGAAATGGCACCAAATTTTACCCAGTTACTTGTGCCAAAAAGAGTCTTTACTCTCTTCAGCACTCTCCACCCCCATCCATTTCTCACGACTTCCATGGAGTCCATCAACCAGACCACCATCATCTTTGGTCTGGGGTACTGCAAGGGCCACTGGCTTCTTTGCTTCCACTCCATCCTTTACCTTCTGTTGTTCACACAGCAGTTAGAGTGACCACTTTACAAGGTCACGCTCTTGCACTTAGCCCTCTGATGTTTCCCAAGACACAGATTAAAATTCCAAATCCTTACTATGGCCAGCAGAACTGTTCATAATCTGGCCTTTGGTTGTGTCTCTCCATCTGCATTTCTTAAGCAAAGAGGAGAATTTCTAGTATTCTCTTCCTCGCTTAACCAGCTCAGTCACATTGCCTTCTTGCTGTTCAAGTACTCAGATACTTCAAGCACACTTCCACAACAGGACCAACATTTTTGCTGTCCCTCTGCCTGGAAGAATCTTCTCCCAAATGTCCGCGCTACTCATTCCCACATTTCATTCAGGTTTCTCGTCAAATGTCACCTCCTTGGAAATGCCTTCACTGACTACTCTACCTAAAACAGCACCACCACCACCCCAACACACACACACTATATTCTCTAATCTGCTTTTTTGTCCTACCTACTAACTGTAATTATTAGCTGGCAGTCTAGTCTAGTACAATGCAGGACAGTATTATATCCTGAGCACTAAGAGCAATAGCTGGCAATAGTGGGCACTCCATAAATATTTGTTGAATGAATAAATGGAGTCAAATTTTTTAAATGTAAATATTTATAAGATATACATAGAAAATATATTTCACACATTAATTCCATCTCTTAAGGATTTGTAGTTAAACCATTTACCAAAGAACAAGCATCACATCTATTTTTTCATCCTATTTGTCCCCAAGATATTATCTCTACTTTTTGTCCCCTTCAATTTTTTCAATAATTATAAGCTGAACACCTTTTATGCCAACAGATGTGCAGTACAGTCGTGAATAAGACTGACACAGTCCCTGGCCTCACAGAGCTTGCACTGTACCCCTTTCTCTGATTTGAATATAATCAAGTCAGCCTTAAGCAGGTGTTTCTAGTCTAAATGTGCCAATGGGTGAGAACAGAAAATAGATCATGTTTATGAAAACACTGGAGTCCCTGTGTGGTACAAACAGCTTGGGTTAATACACCCAGCTGCTAACCGGAAGGCTGGAGGTTCAAGTCCATGCAGAGTGCTCAGAAGACAGGCCTGGCAATCTCTTTCTGAAAAACCAGGGGCCGCCATGAGTGGGAATCGACTCGACAGTCACTGGTGTTTTTATGAAAACATTAACACATGGAAAATGAAGTCCTTTTTTTTCATGAAGAAATTGTACATTTAGCAGATTTCTTCTCTTTCAAAAACTAGATTTTAGGTGCTCGTTAGTATTTGTGTGTGTGTGCTACACTTTTCAACTCCCTCTGCAGGCCAGTCATCGCAACTCGCATTCTAGAGATCATCTGTGCCAACTATCTTCACAGCGGGCCAAAGAAAAACACTCTCCTACTCTTGTCAGTTGGTTAAATCTTGATTACATGTGGCATTTTCTCTTTGTAGATTAATAACAGAAGAGCAAAACAATTTTTTTCCCTGAGAAGGTTAATTTATGAAATAAAATCTTGCCTAACAGTGGGATTTCCTAAAAGATTCTTTTGCTTACTAAACAAAGCCAATGTGCTTTATAAGCAGGAAAAACCTAAAAAAAAAAAAAAAGAAAAAGAAAAAAAACCCTAGGGCAAAGCTAGTTGAAAAAGGAAGAAATAAAATGCTGGAAAAATGCAGCTAAGCAAGCTCTTGCATTTCTCAAGAGTGGATTTTATTTATGTGATACTTGTAACACACACCAGGCTGGGGGGGATTAAACTAAATACCCTTCAAAGTTGGGACTCAAATTTCCAACCAATCCTTGGCTGCGTTGCCTTGATGTGTATACTCCATGAATCACATTTTCTTTACCAAGAAATTTCCAGACAACATGTCCTTTTGGTCATGTTTTCTCCCACAGTACCACACATTCTGCTTTTTTCTACGTTGTTTCAGGGAAGAGTTATTACAGAGAAGCCACAACTGTTTTAAATTTGACCAACTTTATACATGTTGGGCCCTAACCCAGCTTACTCAGCAGCAGCCTGGGTTTGCCAGACCCC